TGAGTTCTAGGCCAATGCAAGACCCTGTCTTGGAAAATAGGGTGCACAGCTCCTGAGGAACAATGACCTAGGCTGTCCTCTTGTACACTCCTGCTCACATAAACTTACATATATGAAAGAAAGGGAGGAAGGGAAGAAGGGAGAGAGGGAAGAAGGGAGGGAGGGAAGGAGCGAGGGTAGGAGGGAGGGGGAGGGAGGAAAAAAGGAAGGAAGGATTAGGTTTGGTGGCTTTAATTGTGTGTGTGTGTGTGTGTGTGTTGTTGTTGTTGTTGTTGTTGTTATTGGTTCGGTAAGATTTTGCTATGTGTTCCAGACTGCCTTGAACTCACTATGTAGCTCAAGTTAGCCTTCAGTTCACAGCCATCCTCCTTCCTTAGCCTCCCAGGTGCTAGGATTACAGGTAGGCACTATCATGCCTACCTGGAAATAACACTTTTAGATATTTCCTGAAGTGTTCGGAGGAAAACGGGAAATCTAGTGTTTGCTTTGTAATTTCGCAGCAAAGAAAACGGGAAAAAAGAAGACAGGACCAATATGGTAGATCACTATCTGTCATTAAACGGGTAAGTGATACACATTAGTGTGGATTATATACTTGTTTATAGTTCTGTGTATGTTTCATAGTGAATAGCTCAATATCATTTCAGAAAAGAGTGAACTCATGTAGCACACACACCAACTCTGTTCATATAGAAATACCGGTTGTTTTTCTAAAGCCGTCTAATGAGGATGCTTCCCAGAGTTGAAGCCCAGTTGACCTTTGCCCTGTTTCCATTATGAAACGCCAGAGTCAAGAAAAAAATAAGCCCTTTGTACCCTGAGATGAACCAATAGTGGCAAGGTCACCCCATCCAGTTCTTCCTAATCTAATTCCTGTGCGTGTGGCCTCGCTAAGGAAAACGTGTCATCAGGCCTCCGAGATGGCTTAGCAGGTGGAAGTGCTTGCCACCACACCTGAAGTCCCTGGTTGTGTCCCAGCATGTCACTTGGTGAAAGGAAAGCTCAGACCCCTGCAAGTGTCCTCTGACTTGCACCACGGCATGTGTGCCCCTCCCCCATGCACACACATAAAATGCATGTATTTGCTCCTAAGAAAGAATGAATGTTTTCCGTTTCGAAATGCTGAAGTCTGAGATGATGTCATACTCTGCATGAGAAAGCCGATTTCTGTGTGAACAGCTGTATAAATGATATACTCGACAGATTTTTTTTCTTTTAAATTCCTGGGACTTCTACCTGGACACGGTAGTGCACACCTGCAATCTCAGCATCCAGAGGACTGTAGGTTTAAATGAGGCCAGCCTGAAGGACCTTATTTCACAACAAAGCCAATCAAAAGCAACTTTGAGCTTCCTTTCAATGCCAAGACATGTTTGGGACAGCCTTCTTGAGGGCTTACTGCCTCCTGACTTTTTGAAAGTGTCATTGAGATGTCGCCCCTGTACTGCATAATTCACCTAACCGTGTTTAATCTGATATGTTTTAGTGTTTTAACGGTTGTGCGTGCAACACCATGACCGACTTAGAACATATCCTTCCCCCAGTACAAACCCGGCACACGTTGGCAGATACTCTCCATCTTCGACTCTGACCCTCACGCCCAGCCTTAGGCAGCCAGACATGTTTGCGAGCATATTTAGATTGTTTACGGTAAAGCAGAGTACACCATGAGACCATTCAACTTTTGGGTACTTCCAATCAGTTCCCAGTAGGATGTAGAGTTGACAGAGTCTCTCCTTGACCAAACTCTATCCAGGATTTTCTGAACCCTTTCTCAACTATTAATAGCTTCAACAAGACTTGAATCAAGTAGGAACCGCTTTTAGCAACTCCAAATTATCTCCCTAGGATGCTCCAGGTATTAAGGTGGCTGCCTGAGAAATTCAAGGCTACTCAAAGAATTGTTTGTCTGTTTGCTCCAGACAATGTCTGACTACAATGTCCCTATTTCCCAGCTTCCATGAGAAACTTGGAGACCAACACTCTCTCCCTTGTGTCATTTAACAACACACCCTGGGTACATCTTACGTGAACCAACTTTTCTTCTTCTTCTTCTTCTTCCTCCTCTTCTTCTTCTTCTTCTTCTTCTTCTTCTTCTTCTTCTTCTTCTTCTTCTTCTTCTTCTTCTTCTTCTTCCTCTTCTTTTTCTTCTTCTTCTTCTTCTTTCTTCTTCTTCTTCCTCCTCCTCCTTCTTCTTCCTTCTTCTTATTCTTCTTCTTCTTCTCCTTCTTCTTCTTCTTCTTCTTCTCCTCCTCCTGCTTCTCCTCCTTCTCCTCCTCTTCTTCCTCTTCCTCTCCCTCTTCCTCTTCTCCTCCTCCTTTTCCTCCTCCTCCTCTTTCTCCTCCTCCTCCTCTTTCTCCTTCCCCTTCTTCCTTCTCCTCCTCTCCCTCTTCCTCCTTCTCCTGATTTTTCATCTTCCTGATTCTGTGGAAGCCTCCCTCTTGCCCCGACCTGTTTCCCTCACTACCGTGCCTGTAAAAGTTAAAGTTTCCTTTACTTCATGCTAGCTGTCTCCTAGTTTAAAACCCCATATTGTTGGTCTGCCCTTGTCGCTTCACCGTGTCCAGTTTCATCTCTGACAAGCCCGTTGAAGTGGATTCATTTTTCCAGCAGGATGCACAGGACCGTGAAGGGCACGATTCTTTGAAGAAATGTTCCAAAGGTCCATACTTTTGATACCAGCTAACCTCCCACTCGGCTTCACATCTGGTGGGACTGGCCTGGAGCTGGGAACGCTCACCAATGTTTTTGGTGCCCAGGGATGATTTGTCAAATTCTTAGAACCTGAAGGCGTACAAGAGGAAGAGAATATCACGTTGGGCAGCGGGGTCAAGTTCAAACTGAAGGTGCAAACAAACCACAGCTACTCTCAGAGCTTGCTCACAAGCACCTGCAGTGGCCCTTAGCCCCGCCCCATAGGGCCGTCCATCTGCGCCTGCGCTTTGTTTGAGTTTTCCAGGCTGGAGAGTTGAGAACTAAGATGAAATTTGGATCACTTTGTGCCATCTCATCCTGGTCCGGGCCTGTCAGACTGGCAGAGGTGAAGCCACAACTTACAGCGCTTGTCCCCCACCTTCTTATCCAGATTGTGATTTCGGAGACTCTTGGACACTACTAGGCAGAAAAGCATCTTTCCAGAGTGTTAAGCTTGGGGACAGGGCAGGGTTTTTAGAGACGCTGGGGGCGTGAGGAATACTTCAGATGTGTCAACCCTCCTTTGACCTAGATAGAGCTCAGAACTAAAATCATTGGATTTTTAAAGGGGAAGTTGTGCCTACCTAAGCACACACAGCCACTTACATCTGCTCCGAATAATTCTCGAGTGTGGACCACTAAATACTCATTTCCCCACCAGAGAAGAAACTGAGCGGCTGAAGGACAGGACCTTTGTATGAAACATCGAATGTTTGTATGTGTCATTTGACATTTGTCCAATGTGCATACTTCCCACACCAGTCACCCCCTCTTTCCCCCAACCCCATCCTTCTCCCACCCCACCACAGTGGTAGGGATGAACCCAGAGTCCTGCACCTACTCGCCAATTGCTGTACCATTGAGCTACATCCCCAGTCATTTTTCCCTCAAGATGCCTGACTGTTCGTCTGGTTCATTGATCAACATGTAGACCAAAGAAACTGGAACTGCAGGGTCTGGGCAGAATTCTGTGAGTAGCGCTGGGTGGAACCATCTATGCAGGGGAAGCTAAACATCTTCTGTAAAGCACCATCTTCCTGTTTATTTCTTTGGGAACAGGAGACAGGAAAAGAGGAGCCAGACATTTTTGGAAGATGTCCACACTGGTGGCATACAGGAAACCAGTGTCATCGTATGGCCCTTCATCTTGGGTTTGATAGGGGAAAATTAAGACATAAATTTTCACTGAACTGAAACATAGCTTGGGGAGGGGTTTGGTGCTCATATTTTGTGAAGATAATCCTTAGGGTGTAGCCGGTTGAGCTCTTAAGTCTCTCTTCTAATTAAGACTCTTACTCGCCTTGGTAAACTGTCTCCAGACTGTTAAAGTCTAACATGACCCCAGGTCAACCTTACAAGATTCCCCCCTCCCTTCTCTAGCAGAGATGTTGAGGAAAACGCGTAAATAGGTGACTGCACCTGATAGCATTTTCAGACAGTGCTGAAAGATCCGAAAGATCCAGCCCCTCTCACTGGCAAGTCAAGTGAAACTTGCTCCAAGTTGTTCCCCCACTGAGTGGCCTGAGAATCCAGGCAAGGATAGCTCGGCATTTGGTGTCAAAGACCTATGAAATGTTTGTTTGTAAATGAAGGTATGTTTGTTTGTAACTTCCAGAATCAGTATGTCTACAGAGAAATAGATGATCCTAGAATGGTTGGTATTGATTGCCAATTTAACACAATCTGGAATAACGCAGGAGAAAAGCATATGGGCATGCCTACAGGGGATTCCATAGGGTAAGTTAGAAACATGCATCCTAATGCAGCAACATTCCATGGGCCGGGGCCCTGGAATGAATCGAAAGGAGAAACTGAACTGAGCACAGTAAGCGTTCCTCTCTCACCACTGCCCCGCCCCCAGGACGGACTGCATCCCCCTGGAACCGAGAGACAGAATAAACCCTCCACTCCTTGAGCGGCTTAAGTCAGGTGTCTAGTTCCAGCAACGAGGAAATGAAACCTAATGGGTAACAGACTGGACTCATCCTTGGGATCGGAACCCCACCCCCCAGAGAAAACAAGTCACAGAGACGCATACTTGATAAAATTTATTTTAAAAAAGAAAATAATAATTTATGCCCTTGACAAAATAAAAGATCTAATAATATAAATGTTTCTTAGAAAATATATGAAAAGATAATATAACAAATATTAATAAATCAATATTCACACGACAGCAGAAGTGACAATGCCTCTACAAGAAGGCTCCGAGGAGGGTGCTGGCCTGCACACAGCAGTGTCTCTGGCAAGCGCTGTCACCCCTTCTTTCTCCCACAATGAGGTGTCTTCCTGTTTTTGAGAAAACCTGATGCAAGTGAATCTAAACTTAGGAAGCCGATCAGTTAGGAAGCTGGCATTTATTGGCGCCGCAAAATAATTCTTTACCAAAAAAAAAAAAAATTCTGCCAAGGACCCTTTAAATAGTTTGCTAATGTACTGAGAAGACAGTTAACCGAATTCACATTCCTTCCGGTGTAGCTCTACAGTAAAAAGTGTGAGGCCAGTCTTAAGTGAGGCAGCCCCAGAGGTGACCTGGGACCCAGGTGGAGAGGATGCTCCTGACAGCGTGGGAATCATGCCGGTTCTCCCATCCTGACCTGTCACTTTTCTTGTCCTACCTTCTTTCTGGTAAACCTGCTTGCCTGGTGCTCTCAGGATAAGGAAGCTATAAACTGTGGGGGGAGGGAGGCGTGAAATGAACTCCTGGGTCCCTCCAGCAGAGTCGAGTGAGGGAAAAATTTGGGGTTCTGGGTGTGTGTTGGATGTGACTGGGTGGACACCTGACTCCCTGAGGGGGAACAGCCCAGTGCAGCCCTCTTTGGATGAGACTCATCTTTAGGAGGATGCATGAGGGCGCACGTCTTCAGAGGATGCGTGAGGGCGCACATCTTCAGGAGGATGCATGAGGGCGCACATCTTCAGGAGGATGCGTGAGGATGCACATCTTCAGGAGGATGCGTGAGGGTGCGCGTCTTCAGGAGGATGCGTGTGGGCACACGTCATTTGTCACACTCCTCCTGGCTGCCCTCAGCACAGTGGTAATGCCGTTCACAGAACTCCTGGATCCGGCTACAAGCCTCCAGCATCATCACCTCGGGAACCGTGATGACAACTCGGAAGAAATTGGGGTACTCGAAGCACTGCAAAAACAAGGACTTGTTATCTCCAGGGCAACTGAATCTGATACTGGCTCACCGTAGCGTAGCCAGGCCTCTAGTCTGCAAGACCCATCACATCAGGGGAGTCTGTTTGCTCCACACCCTATGCCTGGATTTCCGAGTCAGCCACTGAGTGACTTCGTCTTAAAATAGACTGCTCTCCTCCCACCCACAGTAGTGTTTCTGACTTATCTTCCTGTTACTGGGGGGATAATGATGAAATCTTACCAAATGAGAACACTTGGCATGGTGGAGAAGGTTAGGCTAAAACATAGCTCAGGAAGACCTCCGGGGTCCGGAGACATGGCACTCACCGTCGCCGGGAGGCAGTGAACAGACTGCTCCGCAAATAACCGCTCTGTGAACTCCACATCATTCTCAAACTCTGGGAAATGTTCTATCTCAATTCCAACCTGTACCAGTGAGAGCGGAGAGACCAATGTGTCACCAAAGGAACACAGGTGCATTTCCTACGCCAGAAATGAGAGCAGGGGCGCCTTGAAAGCTGTCTGGAAGCTCTCCTGCCCATAACTAAGAGCATCACCACTCGGAACTCAGGAGCTCCTAGCTGGGAGGAGAGGGCATGTTTATGTTCTTATTGGCGTTTATCCGAGGGTTCCTCCCTGGATGTTGATAAATGAAGACAAGAAAAGAAATGCCAATTTTCTTTTCTCAAAAGAGGTAGTTAGCCTTAGGACCAAGTAATTTTTTTTTTACTTTGTAGGGTCGACCCCATCAATTACAGGACAATTAGCATCCCCGGGCTACAAAATCCCTATGTGGTCCCCATATCTCTGAAGGAACCAACATTACTCTCAGCCATGAAACACAAAGCATGCCCTTTATCTATGCATGAGATGGTGGCTGTACTGGAGAATTAGGTTGTTGGGAGAGTTTTGTGAACACAGGTTAAATCAAAGCACTGGGATAATTCATAACAAGGCAATTCCTCAAATAATGGGGACCGGTGCCTAACTCATTGTCTTTGTAAATGGAGGCATACCCTGCTTGGCCACCCATGACAATCCTGCCAAGCCAGTCTCCTGTGCTTTATCACTTCTATACATACACACATCTCACACACACACACACACACACACACACACCACCACACACACAACTCAATACACA